AAAATTGTGATGCTATTTTAGACTGTTACCAAGCGATTATACATGTCTTGCAAGAAGAAATAGAAAATGAGAACGACAAAGATGTTAATGAAGCTATAGGTAATATATAAAAAATGTTACACATATTTATTTACTATTATTTTTTAAACGATCTTAATACTACTTTTTCACTTTAATAGGAATATTTACTAACTTGCAAAAAGGATCTTTTATTGTAAATTTGTTTGTTATGCGCCAAGTACTTAGTATCATTAATGTTCTAAGTAATATGATGCAGGATAAAAAATGCCACCTTAGGAAAATCGGTTGTGATAATAAAGAGTATTATAACAAGCTTTGAAAGTTCTCGAACAGCCGAATCTTTTATTGAGATTTGGCAGTCAATAAAAAAATTTGCAGATGACAACAATATTTCATTAGATATTCCTTTCCAAGCGCGAGGTTTGTTATCTAATTTGTAATTTAATTACCTAATTATTTATATATTACATATTTACATTATATTAATATTAGTTAAAAAAATTTATCCATTTAGATTCGAAGAGAAAGCGAAGAGAGCCTAACAATCTTAATAATTATATAGTAACTAATACAACAAGTGCAATATATGAACCAGTTGAGTCCACCGAATCTGTTGAAGATTATTATAGAATAAACATTTATTATAAGATATTAGACTCCATTATAGAAAATTTGAAAAAAAGATTTTCCCTAGAGAGTTTAAGTTTAGCTATTTCTATTGACAAATTTATGCAACTTAATTATGAAGGGAGTTTGACATTTATTGATTATTATAAGGTAATATTTATTATAATATTCTTATATTCCCTCCCTTAAAAATGACCATTTTTAGTTTGAGTGATATAAAATAACTTTATAGCCATATAGGTATTATACAACTTATGACTTTTCATTTTATCAAAATTTTCAAAATAAAATATAAAATATAAATCAACTTAATAATAATATATTTATAATTTTGAAGTAGATTTAAATATGTAAAATAACATAAATTCAAAAATATAATTTTATTATTTTATATT